GGGAGGGAAAGAAATGGTGGTGGATTTGAGGGCTTTGGGCGGAGAAATGGAGGGTTTAGGAAGGGAAAAAGATGAAGAAGTAGAAGAAGAAAGATGGAGAGTTTCTTGCATGGTGATTTCACATGGTTTATTTTTTGGGAAAATGGAGAAGTGGTGGTGAGGAAATGTGTATTGATTGTATCAGTGGTGTGGTGAGGAAGTGGGGAAGGGATAAGGGGATGAGTGAGATGGCATTTCTGGATTTGCTGATTTTGTGTTATCTCAAAATCCTTCGGGTAGAGGGAGAATGGATTGGATAATGTATATTAGGCCCAATGGGCTGGGTTTATTTGATAGGTCCAATCGGGTTAGATCTGCTGGGCTTAATATTGCAAAGAGGATTTTTTTATATATATACTATGTAACAAACTATTTTATCTGGTTTAACTGAACTTTGTTAATTATCAAAATTAATTATTTTTTTAATTATAATTTATGTATATATTTCCTTTAAAGGCTCCCATGTAACGCCTTGGTTGATGGTTTTGTGTATTTGAGCTCGTTTCCCTTATTTGATACTTTTCATATGTGTATTTATCGTTATATGAGTTGCAGGGATGGCTACTTTGGTTTCAGAAAGGTTTTGAAGTGAATTAGAACACTAAGTTCCATAACGGGAAGCTTAAGTTACAAGAGTTGACCAAGATTTGACTTTTGTATAAACGACTTCGGATTCGTGTTTTGATGGTTCCAATAGGTTCATATAGTGATTTTGGACTTAGGCATATGCTCTAAATTGAATTTGAAGGTTCCTATGATGATTTGGCTCCTTTTGCCAAAAGTTAGCAATTTGAAGGTTTAGAAATTTTATAAGTTTGACTATGGGTTGACTTTGTGGATATTGGGTTCAGATTGTTGTTCCGGGACTTGAATAGGTCCATTTTACTCTTTGAAACTTGTGTGCAAAGTTTAGTCTCATTCCGAATTGGTTTGGTAGGAATCAGACGCTTGGTTGTGAATATTGAAGTTCTTGAGTTTTAAGGCTTGTATGATGCATTTTGGTGTTCGATTCGGGGTTTCGTATGTAATTTTTATGTTTTCGAGCTTGAGAGCGAGTCTATTTAGGGTTTATGTACTTGTGTCTATGTTTGGTATGGGGCCCGAGGGGTTGGGTGAGTTTCGAATTATTTTCGGATGAGTTTGGGAATAGCTTCAGTTTTGCTAGTGCTGCAGACTTCGCATTTTGCGAGGGTCTACTTGCAATTGCGGACTCCTTATCGCATTTGCGAATAGGTGGTCATTAAGGGGGACATCACATTTGTGAGGGGTATGATCATATTGTGGATATTGACTAGGAGGCTGGGAATTCGCAATTGCGAAATGGGGTTCGCATTTACCATATCTTCTGGGGACAGCTTAGGTTCACATTTGCGAGCCCAAGGTGCATTTGCGGAGGTCGCATTTGCGAACCTCAAGTCGCAAATGCCACATCTATAGCTGGTTGTATTTTGAGCCCTAGACTTGGTGAGAGACGATTTCTGAAGAGGATTTTTACATAAAGCTATTAGGTAAGTGATTTTCACTTAATTTTTGATATTATATCTTGATTTCTCATGAATTTTTACACCTAAATCATGGAATTTGGAAGGGATTTTTTGTGATTTTTTTACTATGTTTTTAAAAATAAAAATCGGGGATTTGAGAATAGATTTTGGGTTCGATTTTGGAATTTAATCATATAGTAGACTCGTGGGGTTATGAGTAGTCAGGATCTACCCCTTGACTCAAATTTTGATCGTGTGGGCCCATGCTTGACTTTTGTTGACCTTTTGAAAATTGGGTAAAGATTGAGACTTTATTATTTGGAATTGATTCCTTTAGCATTGTTTAATGTTATTGAGTCGTTTTTGTCTAGATTTGAGTCGGACGAAGGTGATTTTTAAAGGAAATGTATTTTTGGGGTATTGATTTGGCTAGTTTGAGATAAGTATCTTGTCTAATCTTTTATTGGGGGAACATCCTTATGATTTGACCTTATTTCGTGTTATGTGAAAAACGGCATGTACGCGAGGTGACAAGTGTGTACACGGGTGCTATCTGTGGTTTATGACAGGATTAGACCTTAAGCTATCAATATGCCTTTATTTGATGGAATGCTTTATATGAAACATGTTTAATCACTTCGTGACTACAAGAACTTGATTGTTACAACTAATTTAGTCGTAGTTACGTTTTATATGTTGAACACCAATCCGTATTTTATTATTTTTATACCCTGTGCATCTTGTTAATAAATTACGGGTATATATATTTTTATGAAAATTTGGCATATTACTTTTGTGATAATTGTGACATATGTGGACTTATTGAGCGGATTGACTGGGTGATGCACGAGGTCTTGTCGTGTGATTTGTGATTATTGTTATGCGCTGTCACGACCCAAATCTCCCTTCATAGGAGGTCGTGATGACACCTAGTCTTAGGGACTAGGTAGGCCTAACATTTACTGAAATAATCAACCAAAATAAATAACGATTTACAATTGCAGAGAAGAAATATTAATACAAAGTTTATAATCCCAAAATCGATAGTACAAGTCATAAGCTCTACATAGTTTGGTAGAAACCTCTACATACAACTGTTTTGAAATAAGGGTAAATAGTGTAAAAAAATCAGAAGATGACTCTGAAGCCTGCGAACGCAGCAGCAGGATTACCTTGAGTCTCCCCAGCAAGATTTGTACAACTAGCTAACAATCGACGGACTCCGAATTTACCTGGATCTACACAAAAATTATGCAAAATCATAGTATGAGTACATCACAATGGTACCCAGTAAGCATAAAGACTAACCTCAGTGGAGTAGTGACGAGAAACAGTCAAAATACCTACTAGACTAAATAACATGAGCAAATATAAGTGTAGTACTAATAGAATACGATATCTCTATAAAACTATGCATATTGACGACGATAATATGATACTTGTAATAAGAAATAAAAACAACTATTAGTGGTGGAACACAACAAGTAATAACACAGTAGAGTAAGCTAAATACAGTCTAAATCCGGTGATCACAATTAAAAGAAGGACAAATAGCAACTAGATGATAATAATCACTTTCACATCAGGTTTTTATCCAATAATCACCACGAGATACCAAATCTCAGAATATCCACAAGTCACGGGTCCCACTTATGAACCCTAAACACTTGGCATTTTGTGCCCTCATTTCAACTAGTAACCATACTAACGACGCACATGCCAATAGATCTCATATTAGGTAAGTAGACGGGGTGTGTATAAATACTCAATAATATCATGATCCATCTTCTTAAACGATAGGAGTAATTAACTACATGTATGCTTGTGCAAGTGTTCTAATACAGTTCAGGTCAACTAGCAAGTGCAGAGAAAATGAACAGCACGTAAGAATTTTCCCCACAATTTTTCACAAGATAAACTCACACCGGTAGGTATGACACTACACAAATAAAAATAACAAGAATGCCCCCAGGCCATCACAGATCAATCCCTGACATAACCCACCTTGTCTCGCCACATGCATAATAATAAAGTAAATGTTCGCCTTGTCTCGCTATATGTGAATAATAATATTTCTACCTTGTCTCGCTACTTGCGCAACCCACATATATATAGCCCGCCTTGTCACGCCTCATGTGCACATATCAATAGTAACAATAGCACGACAGAAATCTCGTGCATCACAATGACAACCGTACGACAGAAACCTCGTGCATCACAACACTGAGTACAACAACAACAATGACAATTACACAAGAGTACGACAAGTAAATCAATTCAATAGCTTTCAATTGCAAAGAAACAGTAGAACTAGTTCACAAAGAATAAACACAATAGAGAATACTAGTCATAATAAGAATAGCTCAACAAGGGAGAAATAATATGTAGCAACGATCCCTCAAAGTACATTTCAATAAGAAGGGGTATAACACAAGTCAATAATTCCAAATAAGGATAAGTCAACTAAGATATATGATATCTAAACTTCTTTTAAGGTTGAGCAATTACGAAAGAGATACAACACATTCATTTTATGGTTAAGCAGCGGAAAGATAATCATAACCTCAATTAAGGATGAACAATTACTGAAGAGATAATTACACTTTCAATTAAGGAGAAATGATTAGGGAGGGATAGCATAGCAATAGAAGAGGTAACAACTTCAGTTAAGTCATATAAGAGTCGAATAGGCAATAAGAGTGGATCATGAAGCAATTAATTCTAATTAAAGCATGTAGAGATGAAACTAGTAATTGGGAAACTTAATCATAACAAAAACAACTTTATATTCAGTGAACATAAGGACCTAAGAGTCCTAAAAGGTCAACTTTTCACAAATAAGCTCGAGCACATCCTCATCAACTCGTGTACACGGACTTTACATGATATAATTAGCACAAAAGACTCAAATTCCAAGGGGTAGTTCCCACACACGAAGTTAGGCAAGATACTTACCTCGAAGAAGATAGACTGTTACTCCAAAATAAACTTCTCGGATAAAATAACCATCGGACGCCTCAAATCTAGCCAAAATAACTTTAAAGGATAAATAAAACTCATAAGAAACTATTCCGGATAATAAAGTTTCAATCTTTATAAAAAAAAACTAAAAATCAACCCAAAAGTCGACCCCTGGGCCCGCACCTCGGAACCCGACAAATTTCACAAATCCGAACACTCTTTCTGATACAAGTTCAACCATACCAAAATTATCAAATTCCGATATCATTTCATCCCTCAAATCATCATTAAGTTTTCTTCAAAATTCCCATTTTTTCCTCAATTCAAAACACTAATTTAATGATAAAAATAAAGATAGAATTATGAAATAAAATAAATTCTAGGTGAAGAACACTTACTCAATTAGTTTTCTTGAAAAAAACACAAAGAAT